CTAAGAACTGGTAGCCTCACTGGAATTTAAACTATAAACTTACCGTTGTGGGTTTTAGAAGATAGTCTGAAGCAAAGCAGAAGTAACTGTGTGAATTGAAAGCAACCTCCCCTAGCTTTTTTTTTTTTCTGCTAATAAACACCTTGCAAATCTTCTATCCTAGTCTCAGTTTCATATCTGTCTGCTATGACCTGCACAGCTTCATAGGAAACAGAATGTCTTTGCAGCAATTTCATTTGCATATTTCCAAATAATTTGCATACAGCCTTCAGCATACTTTTTTTCTGATTCTTCCTACAAAAAGAAGGTGAAGAGCTTCTGATGCATGCATACAGTAGTGAGGATAAGGGGATCTACATTGTCTGGATATGAATATTAAGAAAGAACTTGCCCTGAGCCATGGTTTTGTCAAGCTTGGAAGTCCCTCCTTGAGTTTAGAAGATGCTAGAACTAAGAAACACAGTCATCCATATTTCTCAGTATGGAGAGAGGCACTTAGGAAGGTGAACAGCAGTACACCCAGGGCAAGGGATTTCAGTGAGGCACACAGACATGGAAGGACACTGCACTCCACAAGGCCTCTTTGCTCTGTGTGCTGGGGCCTTGCAGCAGCATAGCGCCTCAGTACCAAAACTGGTTGTGGTCTGGGAAGAAATGCAAGCTGGTCATGGTGATAAAAATGAGGAATCTTCGGTGCCTTTTTTAAAGAAGTCAGGAACAGATGTTTCTAGATGCAGTTTGGGTATTTCTCATCTGTGAATCAGCAAAAATCAATCTTCCCGAGGCTAAGAGCTGTCACTCCCTCCTACAGCTCCTGAGTCACTTCACTCCCCCAGAGATGGATGCATGAGCAGCAACCACTTTTTAAACTCCACTATGTACACTCTGATACTCAGCACTTAATTCACAGTGATTTGTGATTGCCTAGATCCTCTCAGGGTAAGCTGCTGGCCTCATCAGTGCTGATTTTTTAAAAAATGTCTTTTGATAGTCTATCTTCTTCCTACCTGTTAGACTATGCTTTTACTAATAATAGATTCTAGATTCATATAATTGAATAATCAAAGCATTGCTTGAACTTTTCAGACCTAAAAGAAATCTGCTATGCTTTTTCAAGCTAATGCAAAACTGACTGCTCCACAGATCAGGTTTTTTTCTCAAATTGTACTGCTTTAGTCAAGCATTATGCTTCTGGAATGACACTTAAGCCTGCTTTTGCTAAATAGGTCAATAACACCTCGAGATTAATTGGTTTAAAGTGCCAGCACAAGCAGCCCCTAACCTCTCTTTCTTAAAACAGGTGATCCTATCGTTGCTAAGTTTGCCTTTAATGCTTCATATGCTTCTTTCTTTTGATGAGCAGTGTTTATCTAGAAATGATTAGAAATTTGCTACCTGTGTTAGAATGGTAGTGTTTAAATATCTACCACTTGATTTTTTGTTGATTTGGTTGGTTTTTTTTTTCTGTTCTACTCCTAGCTTCCAGAGAAGATCTAATTTTAGGAAAAGGAGTTTGTATTCAAACATAAAAAATGTCGAATTGCATCAACAGAAGTTACCTAAGTCCTCCTACTTTCAGTGCAGCAACAGGGAAACGTGTCTGCAGAGCTGCTGTGGGACTACTCGAACCACCATAGACAAGGCTGTGTAGCAGGAGGAGGAGGAGTGGGAGGGGGAGAGGCCTCAGAGAACTCCTGAGGGCTCTGGCATGGAGACATGTAGTGTAGGAGTATGTGGTCATCAGCCTTTTGCAGAAAGCAGGAAAGTAATGCTGGAGGCACCAGCAGTAATCAGATGCTAATTCAAAATGAGGCACTTCTAATTTTTCCTTAAGGGTATTTCCACTTCAAACAAGGTAGTTCACCTGACCTTTTCCCTGGCAGAGATGTAAGAAGGTCTGAAAACAAGCCTTGGGAGCACTGCTTCATTCAGCTCTTGGAAAGCCTGCTTAATATTCTGAAAAGTCACCCTAATCCTGTCAGTATTAACAGCAGGGAGATGGCAAGCCAGCTCTTTCTGATACAGCAGAAGCAGTGTTCGAATGCACTGAATAATTCCACTTTGACCTAAAATTCTGTTTTGTTACATGCTAGTTATTTTTAGGCAGGCATTTCTACGACAGTGATGCTTTTATCCAGAATAACATGGCCCTCAGTCTGTGTTACTCCCTGAGCTGAAGCCAGCCCCACCTGCTCATGCAAGCAGAGATGCTGTATGCAATTAATTTGGCTGGAGCTCCTCCTGCCTCTCCTGAACCCTCCACAGCCACTGTACCAGTCTGTGGGAGATGCTGTGCTCTGGGAGCACAGGTGCAAAGTGGCTGCACAGCAGCTGGCAGAGGCACACAGTGTCCTTTCTGAGCCTCACAAAAGGCACTTAGTGATGTTTGTGGCAAGTCACTAGCTCCACCAATTAGCAACAGGCCTTTCATATCTGGGTATTGGCTTAAAATCTTTAGCCAGTTCATCACTCAAGCACAGTGATCTCCCTAAGTGATTATCCCTCCTGAAGGAGGACAATGTGTCCTCTCCCCTGTCCACACTAGAACAAACATTTTACAGCAATTCCACTAGGCATGGTAGCAAAACATTTAGTCTCTTTACCACTTTGTCCCCAAGCGCAGACTAACATCTAGTGGAACTCTCTGATGGTCCTGTCTCTGAGATAAAGCCGTGGTAGGAAGAGGCTCAGGGAAGGGAAGGCCCTGACTAGCTGCCCCTGCTCTGGCTGTGGAAGGTCTGTAGAGTAGGAACGAGCCAGACCTCGGAGTGCCCTCATCTTACCCCAGGCCTGACCCTAGCAGCTGCCCTGGCTCGGAAGCTCCAGCAGCACGCCCAGCTGCTGCAGAACTTCATGTATTTCAGTTTTAGGTGCTTAGTTTTTTCTCTTCTTCTGAACACACCAATCGGAGCGTGAAATGCTTGCTTTCACATTCAGCACAAAGCTCAGCCTGCGCTTTATATCCCATTTCCTTTCCCCAGCCACCACGTCCTGGCACACGACCAGCAAGTGAGCAGAGCTGGCACAAGGGATAAGCCCAAACACAAACCTGTGACAAACTCCCTTTCCTTCTTTTCTCCTCCCTGAGGGTTGTGCTGCTCTCACCACATACCCAGCCTTCCAGGAAGCTCCCAGGCCTGTCTGGTGGCCCTGTGGTGGTATCCTTGGATTCCTAGGTCACAGTTGCACTATATATCAACAATAAAACTTCTGAATGCTAAGAGTCATGTTACCAGCAATGAATAACGTGTTCTGTAGAAAGTGCTGGAGGAAGCTGCTAGAATATGCTGAAGGTGGTTATAAACTGTCCTTTTGAGATTAATTTCTTGACAGTTGGTCAAAACCTATTATTGAAATATTTGTTACTTCTTTTTGCCTTCTCAAGTGTCCCCTACTTACTTAATCCTACTGCTGGGAAGTACCATGAGGCCAGACTATGTGCTCTCCTTTCAAACCACACTCCCCAACTACTGGGACTCCAGTAGTACTGTGATAAGCCTGTATCCAGAAATGATGTGCCCCTGGCTAAAAAATGGATTATTTAACAGAGCTACTAAAAGAAATGGGATCTCTCTCTTTAAGCGATTGACCCTGAGGCAGAAGAGGGGAGGGAGTGAGGGAGAAGGAGAAAGAAGATGGTAATCTCTTTAGATAACAACCTGAGTCATAGTAATAGCAGCCTAATTGCTATCCAAGGGCTTTTAGCAGGAAACAGGCACACCTAGAGAGGCACTCATGCAGAGAAATATTAGTTTTAAATGGAAGGAGAACAGACATTGAAATGAACTTTCATCTGAGCACAATGGAAAGTAAGAAATATTTGTTTGCTTATGCAAAAATCACCTTACGTCCAAGAGCTACTTGCTACTGTGGATGGTGTATAATTCATGTGAGGAATAGACACATGCCAGGGCTCAAAGTGAAATGGGGATTTATTCTTAGGCAGAAGAAAAGAAAATAGTCTTGTTTTGGGAGGAAGTGGTTGAATGCTCTCTTTCCAGAATAAGCCAGTTTCCACAATGATTTTTACTGTTCCATGAATAAAATTCACAAATATCAATTCAGAAATACAAAGGACCTTTATGTGAAAACAGGGGTGATCGTAACTAAGCAATTTGCTTAGGAGAAAGGTCCATATGAATGGGATGATTTGCCATTGATTGATCAATCCCATGTAAGTATACAACGTGCCCTCTGAATGCAGCAGCATTGCTGTCTTACTTACACTGAAGATCTGTCTGCACTGCTTTGAAGTGCACTGCAGAAGTAGCTCTTTCCTCATAATACCCAGCTCCAAACCTGACTGCAGCACTCTGAAACAGCAGCTTAAGGGTCAGCCCAGTAAATGAGACCACATTTCCACAACAGTCTGTGGGCAAGCCGGCTGGTCCCTGTTCCCCAGGTGCTGTTACTATTTCCTAAATCTGTTCTCAGAATGGGACTGTGGCAAACAGATGTTTCCTGTAGCTCTCAGTCACAACCCTGCTAGTTAGGAGAATCAAGACCTTCTGAGTCATAGATGATAAAATGCCACTTTGTTCACACAGTATGTGCTGTATACAGTGAGTCAAGTTGAGCTTGAGAATATATGTGTCAGGTATATATGTGTAACTACACATTACTTTGGACGTTTCCCTTCAAAATATCATTTTCCTATTTGTAGCTTGCATTTTATCAATTTCCAGAAATACTGTAAGCCAGAAATTATCCATCCTGCATTGCTGAATAATAGTATTGGGGCAGGCTGCTATGGCAACAGATGTATGATCTCCAGATTCACACCTGAAATGCTCATACAGTAACAGCTTTTTGGATACCCTTTCAGTGTACAAGCAGGAAAGTATACTGAGCTATCCCAGTAACCTCTGGGAAGAGAGCAGCTATAAAATAAACTGAGATTTTTATTACACTACATTGTTTTGAAATAGACATAAATGCATGCTTCGCATTAAAAAAAAAAAAAAAAAGGACAAAAGGACACAGAGGCCAAAACAACAGAGTTAAATCACTGACATAAAAACATCTGATGAATATTTATTATAAATTAGTATTTACATTATACTTACACTTGGAAATTCAGCCAATCATAGATTGGCATTACCAGTGTGTTTACATATCAAATCAGGTAACCATCATTGTCCATGAGGCAGCAAATTACTATTTTCTTTTTCTTAAGAGCTGAAGTTTTACAGAAAAAGACCTTTATATTAGAAATATATTAGGTTCAGTTGAGCTTGACCAAAGGTCAAAGGAATTGTCCACGCTAATCACTGAAGCTTTGACTTAGCCTTTATTTTTCAATTTGAAATTCTCCTAAAAAGAGGAAAAGATGAAGTAGAATTCATTTTATTATCACCACTATCCCCATGTGGCCACTCCACAGATGCAGGCCTATAGGCTGTTGACCAGTATGGTATCTGTCTGGCATAGACACAGGTCACCAGCATTTACCGTAGAAGTTCAGTTCATACACTTAAGTGTACAGCTACACATGCATGATCCCACTGGTCTGTCTGGAAAGAGTTTTTGCTTGCAGAAATGTTTTAATAGGAAGACACCAATGGAATAATTAGAGTTAGTATAGAAAAAACTCTGAAGTGCCTATCACTCAATAACATTAAGAACAAATGATAAAAACACATGAAGGGGTGACATAAGTGAAGCTGTTTGGGGCAGAAGGTGGGCCAGACTGAATTCTCTATTTCTGTGGCTCTGCAATCCCTGTGCTTTCAGTGTTGTAAGTCATAGCTTCTTGCAGGCCCTCAGGTAGTAAGGCAGATTTCAGGGAAGGAAAGTTGAAATGAGATGTCAGGCAAGGGGGAATAAGGAGAACACCTGGAAGAGTGTCATACACTCTTAGTCATTTTTCTACCAAAATATTTTTAATGTCCATGGCTCATTGAAATAAGTCTTTGGGAATACTTTTCTTTTTCTTTAACAATAAATCATCTGGCACGTGATAGAGGGACATCTGTGCAGTACAGATATTTTTACTTAATATGTGCTGGAAGGTTTAACTGGTAGACAGTAAATACATTTTTATGAAGGAGAAAGATGTCTTAAAAGAAAAAACTAACAATTGAGGTTTCAGAACGTAAGAGCTTTCTAGCTGCAGACATTCTAATACTATGCATTAGTGTTGCTATATTGGGAAATATGCAGACTGGGCGTGCTAATTTCTGAGAATATTTGTTCACTGGCTATTTGCAAGAAGCGGCTGATGACAATGTCCTTGGCCTTGGTGGTCTCCATTTTCCTCTCTCGTGATATCTGTGTGCTGATTTGGTCTACATTAGTCATTATGAGCTCTGAGGCCAGGATCTGTGTGGGGGATGCCCTGTTGGCTGTGCTGTCCATGATGTACTGCTTGTACAGCTCCATCAGCTTCTGCTCCAGGTAGTCGTTGAGGGCCGAGTCAGAGAGGGGCTGCTGGTGTGGCACCAAGCTTGCCACACGCCAGCATGATGAGAAGCCTTGAGCCTGCTTGCGGCCTGTCTCGCTAGGGGGGACCCGCATGGACTCCATAGGTGGAGGAATCTCTGAGGACTCCAGGAAGGGGCCTATGCCACTGTCACAGGTAAAATCGGTTGCCACTGAGCTGATAGGCACCACGCAGTCCCCAGCTATGTGCAAATCACTGTAGTTCTTGAAAATGCTTTTGCAGGAGGATGGAACCAGGTAGGTGTCTCTTCTTGCCAGCCCTTCACAGACATCCATAGCTGGAGATGCCTGCCCTTCAGGCAGTGGGGGCTGCATGGGCTGTTGGAGTTTGTCTTTCTGCCTTCTGCTATGTTTGCTTCCTCTAGAGTGAATTGAAGAAATGCATTTGCCAGCAGATCTGCATCTCTGAAGGAGGCTTTTTCCTTGTGCTTCATCCCTGGAGGAACAATTAATGGACCTCATTTCATACACCACTTCCTCCACTGTTTGGTTGGTGCAGAGCTCAGAGTCTTCATAGAGGTAGGCAATTCTGTAAAGGTAACCTTCTGACAGCATCCTTCAAGAAAGCAAAGGAACCACCATCAGACAGAAAAATGACAAGAAATCATTAGTTCTCAAGTCATTGAGCGGTGACTATACTCACAGTTCTGTTACTAGCTACAGAGATATCTTTCTGATTTGGGCATTAACAAGTATCTGTCTTTCTGGGAGATGTAGTGAAATAATCAATTTGTTTCCCTATTGTGATATTAACTCAATCACGTCTAAGCATATTCTGCATAACATAGCATGTGGTATAGAATCATAGAATCACATAATCACAAGGTCGGAAAGGGCCTACAAGATCATCTAGTCCAACTGTCCTCCCATTACCCTTGCTACCACAAACTAAACCATATCTCGTAGCTCCTCATCCAGGCGCCTCTTGAACACTGCCAGGGACAGTGACTCCACCACCTCCCTGGGCAGACCATTCCAGTGCCTGACCACTCTCTAGGAGAAAAAATTCTTCCTTATGTCTAATCTAAACCTCCTCTGGCACAACTTGTGGCCGTTTCCTCGGGTCCCGTTTGTTGCCTGGGAGAAGAGGCCAAACACCTCCTCATCACAACCTCCCTTCAGGAAGTTGTAGAGTGCAATGAGGTCTCCCCTGAGCCTCCTCTTCCCCAGACTGAACAATCCCAGCTCCTCCAGCTGCTCCTCATAAGACTTGTGCTCCAGACCCCTCACCAGTTTTGTTGCCATTCTTCCAGGGCCTCAATGTCTTTCTTTGAGGGGCCTGTGTGGATAATCCATCCAAAGACAAGTGAGTTGGGAAGAAAGGAACAAGTGGTATGTTGCAGTAATAACTGCTGTAATAGTTCATGCTTAAATATGCATATTTTTGCTCATGATTTCAGTTCAGAAGCCAAGGGTTTTCCCCACCTTTTCCAAGTGCTTTGAAGCAACTTCTACTGTGTGTGGTTTGTCACCTGTTTCTGAACTATGTTAATTTTAGATTCATATTTAGAGTGTAACTGTCTTTTCCATACTGATCAGTGACTGCAAGTGTGGTTCCCTTTTCACTAAAAATTCTCAGATTGTGAAATTAGCATTTACTACTTTTGCATGAGAAACCTATATAGGCTTGAGCAGTGGGCCCAAGAGAACATCAGGAGGTTCAACAAAGCCAAATGTAAGGTCTTGCACCTGGGTTGTAGCAACTTCCACTGTCAGTACAAGCTGGGGGATGAAAGGATGGATCACAGACCTGTCAAAAAGGACCTGGGGGTCCTGATGGATGGCAAATTGGACCAGCAGTGTGCCCTCACAGCTCAGAAAGCCAACTGTATTCTGGGCTGCATCAAAAGAAGCAGGTCAGGGAGGTCTGCAACTGGTGAGGCTTCACCTGGAGTACTGCATCCAGATGTGGAGTCCTCAGTACCTGAGAGACATGAACCTGTTGGACTGCAGCCAGAGCAGGGCCACAGAAATGATCCAAGGGATGGAACACGTCTTGTATGAGGACAGGCTGAGAGAGCTGGGGCTTTTCACCCTAGAGATGAGAAGGCTCTGGGAAGGGAAGACCTGATAGTGGCCTTTCATTATCTAAAGGGGGGCTATAAGAAGGAAGGGGAGAGACAATTTATGAGGGTCTGTGGTGATAGACAAGGGGAATAATTTTGAACTAAAAGAGGAAAGATTTAGACTGAATATAAGGAAAAAGTTTGTGATTTTTTTTTTTTACACTGAGGGTGGTGAGGCATTGAAACAGGTTGCTTAGAGAGGTAGTCGATGCCCCATCCCTGGAGACATTCAAGGCCAGGCTGGAGGCAGCTCTGAGCAACCTGATGTAGCTGTAGGTGTCCCTGTTCATTGCAGGAGATTTGGACTAGATGAACTTTATTGATCTCTTCCAACACAAACAATTTCATGAATCCATGATAAGCTGGATGGAATTGTCTGTAGTTTTTAGACATTAAAATGTCAGTGGCATAAGCAAGGTTTTTCAGAGGCATGCATTCATAAGCTCTGAAATCATCTTTTTGGTTCTAGCAGCCACTGATCCTCTCCAGGTACTAGAGCTGGTAGCTCAGTTTCAGAATCTGTGTAGACACTGTCAATGACAAATAAGACTCACTAGCAGGAACAGAAATGTCTCTGTATGTCACCAAATGTTCTGCCCAAGTCGAAGTAGTTCCACTGCCATATAATTGTTGTTAAGTCCACCTTTGTGTCTTTTATTTAAACAGATGTCAAGGAAATGATTCACAGGAAAGATGTCATAAAGAAATTGTGTGACCCAGCAAAGAGAACATAAATCTTAGTTACATAGATAGATTTTTCCTTAGTACAAAATATCTTGTGATAGAGAAGCAAACAGATTGTCTTTGTGTAAACAGTGATTACTTCTTTCACTTACTGCTTAATCCATTCATATCATTTTAATCCTTATGGGCATTGTCTGTGTAGCATTTGAGCATATGTCCCAGTTATTTGTCAAAACACCTGCTGTGAAGGGGCACTATACCTCACACTGTGAGTGGGGAGGTAGGATCTCTCTGGCACATGTCGTACTACTCCATGCTGTTGTTGACGGTTAGATTTTTCTTTTACAAGAATGAAAACATTTTCATTTCTTAGTCAGGCTTTTCTTGTGCTACAGTTGCTAGTGCAAAATGCTGTAGTAGTAATAAGTGTTGGCTAAATCCTGACTATGGACTTTATGCAGATGTTGGCAAGAAAACAGCTTGATACTTTCCCCAAAAGGGAAATAAATCATTTCCACATTATGAAGAAGGCAGCTGGAAGAAAAATAAACTTCCCTCAGAAGGAAATATTTGTGAAAATTAAATGTATCCAAACACTTTGGTTACCCTGGAGCCCCTCTGCTGCTGCTTGTGTGAGATTTCCCACCGACAGGTAACATTTAGTGAAATATAGTCTATTTACATGAGAGGCATATTTGGGGCCTGGCATTCCTTGGTGTACCTTGCTGTTGGCTTGCTTTAGATTTTAGCTGTGGATGAAGTACCACCACAGAGATCTTACCCAAGTGCTTGAGTTGCTCAGGTTGTAAGCCCACCTCCCTCTCCTCCTTTTCCTTCTGCAATGCAAAGGCTGTTCCCTTCTCTTGCTTACCCTGGGCCAAAGAGATTTAGTGTCAAATTATCACCAACTTAGGCAATCTTGAACATGAAATTGCTATACAGTTATTCCCACATATACATTTGATTCTGAGAAATGAGTGAAAATATAACATATGGCCTATTCACTTTTTAACCAAAATGCACAAAGCCATGTGTGCTCAGGTAGCATGTGACTTGTCTGTCTTTCCTACTGCCCAGATGTATCTTGTTTCTGTCATAAGGTGATGCATTAAGGAAATGAAACTGCTGGTTTCATTTCTTCATGCTGCTTTCTGCAGTACTTGTTTTCAGAGGTTTAGAGCACACAGCCTGAGACTGGAATAATAGCAAATTCAAAAACATTAGGCTCCCATCTTGCTTAGGAATTATATATTTGGCTCTTGGAATTACAGGGATACCCTTGGAAAGTTGCAAGGGCTGTGGTACTCATCTGACAGCACTCACAGAACTGCTAGGAAATCTAATTGGTATTTTGATAGGCAACGTTCAGAGCTCTGTGTTCAGAGCTGGAATGCTAAGTGAGCTATGTGCGTCTCTCTGATCCTAATAATATATAGCCATGTCACATTATTCTATCATTGCTGATGGCTGGGCACTCAGCTGGGTCACCCTTAATTCCTGTACTTTATATCACAGGGATGACAGTTCTCATTAATTCTGTTTCTTGTGTCCCTTCTCTTAATCCCCCTTTTGTACTGTACACATGTGCATACACTAAGATTCCAAGTGCATGGGACTTGTATCTACTGCCTTTCAATATTTCAAGTTTCATGCTCATTAAATTTGACATTCATTTCTCTTGTCCTGAAAATAACTGTGTGACTGTTACACAAGGAAAAGACAGTCCTGTTTACAATATTGATCTGATGCACTTTGCATATGAGTTGAACAAACAGATATTTCCTTGTGCAGATACTGCATCAGCAGTGGGAGCTATCTGCGTTTTACCTAAGCACAGATTGCAGTGGAGGCACAGGGAGAAGACTGTCTGACTTACAGTTTTTGCTATGTTATCACAGTCTTTATCACTCTGAGAAGCTCTTGAAAAGTCATTTTGTCTTCCCTGGGGTTTCTGTTCAGTTCTTCAGAGGAATAAAAGCCTGAAGGCAGGATGAATGTTTAAAGCTATGTGGAGAGTACAGTGGTATACAGTGGTATACTTTCTAAGTGGCAGCAAATTTGCTGGAATATAATGCTTGGAGATGGTGCCACTGTTTGCTTAAAGACCTCATATTAGAGTCTGAAAGCAAACAAATAGAATGGAAGTTCTTGGCTCGGGACAAGCAAAAAGCTTAAGGAAAGTCTGAGAGGTGTACACAAAGTTATATGATGAATATAAAAACCCTGAGCATGATCAAAAGTTGCTAGGGAAAATGGAAAGAGCATGGTGCCAGCTGGGATCACAGATCAGTAGGGAAAAGCACATTCTTTTGCAAAAAGAGGAAATTGTAAGCTCACAGAAGAGACAAGCCTGTTTTGAAATGGTGTATGTCTGGCTTTCAGCTCTCTGAATGAGACTCTGAACTGTACTGAAGTTGTGTTGTTCAGTTGAAGTTATAGCACACGCTGTAGGTTAGTTAAACTGTCAGTATTGCTTAAGTAAGTTCTGTCTGACTTACTAGAATGGACTGTAATTAAAGTCTCTGTCTCAAGGGAACCCAAACCCTGTGGATCCATCTTTAGTACATTTTTTCTCAATCTCAACAGACACTTGTATAGTCTATGGACAAACCACAGGGGTTTGAGATTCACTTCAAACTTCAGCACATGGATGCAAGAGTTCCCCTGGCAAGCAGGATAGGCTGGAGCAGAGAGCCTGCATATGCTGCAGGACTCAAAGGTCACCTTCCACCAGCTCCTGGGAAGCCAGCATAAGGACATTAGGACAGTGAAGAAGGTAGTGAAATTAGCTGTTCATATGGATAGGTGTAGCCTTTCTTTAATGCATGAAACCCAAGGATTTTTAGTGTCTGAACCCTGTTTGATAAAGATTATGTCCAGTGCCCAGAGCTGGCTTGGGTAAACAATGGGGACTGTTCTTTGAGGCTGGAGTTGTCCTACTTTGCCCACAGTAGAAGAGGACTAGCAAAGAGGGGTTTCTACACAAGCATTGGAATGCTACCCACTGTGCATGTATCTTCCTCTCCCTTCTGCTACAGAAGATGAGGAACCTGCAGGGCTGCACCACAGGGTTCTGCCAGCAACAGCAGCAGTTATGAGCCAAGCCTCTCATGTCCCCTCCCCACAACTCTCTAGCTCCAGTCCTTCTGTCTTCTCTCAAAAGAAAATTTGAGCCCAGCCCATCTTTACTCACATCTCCATAGTTCAAGAGATGCAGGAAAGCTAGGAGAGCCTCTCCTGCAAGGGATGTATGGACCACTTTGTGGGGAACAAAGTTTGAGAGGATTATAATCCTGTATATTACCTTCCCCAGAGACACAATATGCTTTATATGTTTATTGTAATGTTGAATATTGTAATGTTGAATGTTCTTGTTTGACCAGCGTCTACCCACTGAACTCCAAGAGCAGCTGGCTTCTTTCATTTAAAAAAAATCCTTTAATATTTGTTTGACTGATGTTTTGTGTGGAGTTTTGTGGGGCAGGCTTCCATAAAAATACAGCAAAAACTCTATGGGGTAAACAGAGCTTCTTGAGCTCTTAGATCACTTCCCATCTAATTCTGTTTTATTAGCTGAAGTTCCTTGAAGCCTTGTTCAAGGCAAGCCTAATTCATCACTTTTCACTCTTCCCTTTCTTAATCATCTATACCTACACAAAGATATTTAGGACACTGTCTATTTTATTTGATAGCATTTTACATCTAATACACAAAGCTGTAAGCATTAATACAGATGCAGGAACAGATCAAGCTCCATATTCATAAGGGCAACTTGACTATACAGTAGTTCTACACTGTGCTTTTCTTCACGGTAGAAGTCATGTCATGTTTCTAGATTTCTGTTTTTATTTTAATGAGTTGTTGGCTGTTGCTATGACTGAACTATTTGTACTGACATATTTTGTATCTGAGAAGTTGAAGTACAAGGGACTGATAGAGGAGAGAACACACTTTCTAGAGCAGAAGAGAATGAACAGTAAAGCATGAAAGACAGAAAATGCTGAAGGATCTTTCCTGGGAGAAGAGGGAGGAAACAGTGCATTAACAAGCCTTGAAACATTAATCATATCTGCTGTAGTATGTAAAAAAAGGAGTGCAAAGTGTGCATATTGTGTGTGTACACACATATCATGCTGTGGGTTTGTACTAAACCAGAATATTGGCTGTAAATCAGGAAAATACAAGGACAAAAGGTCTTTATTTGGGGTGTGGAGTTTTTTTGTTAGTTAGTTAGTTAGTTTTCCCCAAAAAAGTCTCAAAATTTTTCTGTGAACATATTTTAATATAAATCCCATTTCATTTGTTACGGTGCCTATTTCTATTTCTAGTCTACAAATAGCGTACTCCACTTCTAAGATTATTTGGACAGCATGCTACCATGTAAAGAAAGACCAAGAAAAATACCGCAATTATGACAAAAACAATACATCTGATAAGACTCCCTTTAAAAGTATTCTGAAGTACATTATTTTGGTATGACTTTATGACAGTCTTTAGAAAGATCGGAGACCTGATTGCATGTGGATGGTGGCTGGGACTCTGCAAACACACACATGCACTCAGAGAAGTCAGAAAAAGTGTATCTTTATTTTACCAGCTACCAGATATGAAACCACACAAACAAAACCAAGCCACCTTGGTAAGCAAGAGCAATGATTTCAGGTCTTTCCATTACAAATAGTATAGGTACTTACCTCTGAAGATCAGCAGCAGATCAGTACAGAATACTGGTTGTCTTGCAGTCAGTTTAAAGCTTTCTGTCCTACCCTAAAACACAACCTTCTGTTTTAATTTCCTTTTCAAATGCACTTCTAAGATGACGTGTTTTACTTCTAATCCTCTATAGTGCCGAAGTATAGAAAGAAAGTCCCTTAGGAGATGAGGGGTTTTTATAACTGACTGAACGTCAATACGCTTGACTTGCTTCCTCTTTTATGTCTAAATGAAACTTTGTTATGAAACTGTGTATAAATAGCTGATTGCAACACATTCAGTCCATGCAACCAGACTTCTCTTTATTAACTGTTATATAAAACAAGCAAACAAACAAAACCAACAAAACCCTAGTGAACTGAACAATGCTAGAAAAAGTACTCATATTTGTGGCACACCCAATTTTAATCATTATTTATCATTTTATTTTTAACAGACACATGAAGACATCTAGGTCAAGAATGTCATACCAAATTCAAAGCAGAAATGTACTTCACAGCAGCTCTATTTTATTGTCTTCAGATCTCTGATATCTCAGCTTCCACAAAACAGCACAGCTTAGCTGGTTAGTGAGGCTTTGCTTTTGGAGTATCTGCAAACCCGGCCTGAGGAAAGTTAGACCCAGCATGCTCAGTACCGCAGTGCCTGCCACATCCAGGCAGACAGCATCTCTTAGCAAGGGCAGCGTGTTAAAATTCATTGGACAAGTGGAGTTCACTTTCTGAGCCTGAGATGCATGAAAAACAACCAGGTTTTGTGAATGGTGCTGGAGTATTCCTGAAGGGTCAAAGGACATTTACTGTTTGAAGGACGTAATGGCAAGTCCAGTGCATCAGGAATGTATTCCCATCCTCAAAAAAGAGAAATGCTTTAAGTGAGCTGCTCCACCAAAGAGGCTTACTATAAATCTCTGCTTAGTCTGGGCATGCTTTGTCAAACAGTTCAGAGGCAGCTAGCTGCCTGCCAGCTGTAGGTGAGACGTCTGTTCAAGAAATTATAAATGGGGAGCTTTTGTGAGGACCCATATTCCATTGCCTTTTCTTAAAATCAGTTGTAGGAATAAGTGCAGAAAATAGATCAATTTTCCTGTTAGTGTATCCAGGCAGGTATGTATGAACCAAGTGCATGCTCTTTTCAGTGCATGCTCTTTTCTCCTCTTTTACTTTACACAAATTAGGAAACTGCTCTTATCACAATTCAGAGGTCTTTCCCTCTTTCCCTTCTATCTCAACTTGAGTTCATTCCTATTTTTTTTTTTAACCTTGAGTGGTCAAATTGTTTTACCTATATTTTTTTCCAAAAGTTATAAATACTGCTGCACCAGTGCATTCCAAATGAAGTATGTTATCGTACAAGTGATCCAAACGACAGCAGAGAGTATGTTGTGGTTTCCTTGAACAACTATGTACAGGCACATAAGTATATAAGCCCTGTTATATAATCGGTAGTGTATGATTCACAAGTGGCTTGTAATAAAGTGTCAAAGGGCAATGTTCAGGGTTGGATGGCCTCTTCCTATTGACAATGCCTGTGAAAAAGTCAGAGATTTTTTCTTCTTTTTTAAAGATAATTCAGATATAGACAGTTGTGAACAAAAACAAACAACAACAAAAATCTAAATGTCACCTGCTTCATTTACACCTCTCTAGCTTCAAATAAGGAAGATAAAAGGTGATCCACAATGTATAGACAGATTGATAGACAGATACTTACTGAGACTGAAGTACACAGTAAATACTGTCAAACATCGGAGCATTTCAGTCAGCAGCAGAGAGCAGCTTGAAATTGCATTGTGTTGTTCAGAAAGAAAACTGTACCTATTTCTTTGAGCAATGGAACTTATTATTGCCCATCTCAGCAGCCAACTTGACTAAATGGGCTATCAGCAGCTATACCTGTTGTGCGTGCACCTTGCAGAGTCCTCTGTGGTCATTTTTTAAGCTTTCTAGGATGCAAAGACATCAGTCACTTCTGCTCTTTCCATAGAATTTGTGTTGTGGTTGGACTAGTCCATTTTTTAAAAAGGCAGTTTGCACAGAGGAAATGTAGCAGTGCCTTTTCTTTTCCTGCTTTTTTCACCAAGATACATTCTTTCTTTGTAAGTCCTTAGAGTTTCAAATTACTCAAGTAAAATGTGAAGATTTGCAGGTTCTCTTTCTTCAGTTTTGTTTAATGCTTTGCATACTCTGAAAACTTCTTTAAATGCTCAAAACAATATAAATATTTTCTGAAAACAAGATGAAAAATATACCTTCATTATCATTCTTTGTTTGTAAATCTCAGTGCATGTAGCAAATGTACTTCTGGCTGTAAACAAATTAAGCAGCTGTTCCAGATCACTACACTTAAATGCTACTGCAGAATAAAAAAAGCTTGAGACTGTATCTCAATTCCATAATGACAGATAATTTCCTACTGCAGGAACACCAGCTTCTTGGAACATACCGTATTACAATGCATTCTTTGCTTCACACGTCCAAAATGGTTACTACTATCTGCTCACTTAATTAAGTAGTTATATCCTATGTATCAGACAGAAAGGCATCAGAATTAGATCCCTGGTAAGACATACCAATAGGTCTAGGAGGAACCTCTTTGTCTGCTTGGGATGTATTTCCACTTTTTATTCAATATATGATATTTATTTTGTACAGTGCAGTGTCTGGAGTGGAGACTCCTCCAGCCAACAACATAGTCCTAGAGGAGGATGATGACATTGTTTTGCCAGAGCAGGGTGCAGCCTGCCATTTTCTCCTCCCCTCGGCTTTCTTCTCCCAGGAACCTTTTTCTGACTTTTTGCCTTTGGGTGAGCTCTTCATTCCCTTCTCAGCAAGTCTCCAAATTTAATAAGCTTAACCTTCAGCAATTCCCAGCTGTAGAGAGAAGCAGCTTGTTTCATCTGCTGTGCCTTGAGGACAAGGAATACCATTCATCTCCACAGGACCAGTTCACTGCAGTATCAGCAGTGAGCTGCTGATTTCTTCCTGGCTTTCCACTGATCAGATTTCTTCTGTGTCTGGATGGACTATCTCATAAACCAAGATTCGCTGTGTAATTCCAAAATGAGAACTAGTTAATTATAAAACTTCCATGCTATATCCAATGGCAATAGAAACAGGCTGTAACACTGCCTACCTGTAAAAGAGCCTACCACATGATACACATTCTAATTTTGTATTCTTTGATTCTTTTAGTTTTATTGAGTTTTTAGTTTTAACAAACTAAATCATGTCTCATGCTGCTAAACTACTTCTTGGTTTACTGACTGCTAATCACTGGTGGTGAGGCTTCAAGATGTCAGAGAAAGAGTTTTTATCTGGCAAACAGGATTGTGCAATAGATAGTCTTTTTCTCTCTTTTTGTAGTTTTTTTAGAATACGCCAACATAACATAATAAATTTGAAACCACTCAGGCTAAGGGATTTTCTGATACTGTAACAAAATTCCACAAAAAAAATTGCAGAAATCCGAGGTATTACAGAACTCTGGTTATTTCACTTGTACTGGCACATGTCTGTACTTTCCAGGGAGAGCCACCCAGTGGCAGCTGGCTGTATTTATTGTGTATTTTTCTCACGCGCTGGCTTTTATTTTCACTGATTACCACATCCCTAACTTCTTGCTTTTACATCTTTTCAGCAGCCAAGAAAATACATTTTTTCAGCTCAGATTCCCAAGTAGTAAAATTACATTAAAAAATATGTCTGAATTGAGGCGCTGTCTTCACAAAGCTTACAACAGTAAAGTTCTTTACTACAAGAGGGTAAGGTGCTGGAACAGGCTGTCCAGAGAGGTTGTGGATGCCCCGTCCCTAGAACACTGGGTCTTGAACTCTGGGTTGGATGGGGCCCTGGGCAGCCTGGTCTAGTATTAAATGGGGAGGTTGGTGGCCCTGCATGTGGCGGGGGGTTGGAGCTTCATGATCCTTGAGGTTCCTTCCAACTCAGACCATTCTGTGATCAGAGAAGATGGGGAGAAGAATCTGCAACAGAACAAGACGTTGACCCACCGACTACTCTAAAGATCATAATAAAAAATTCTCCATGCTTTGGTTCAGATTCCAGAAAAGCATTGCTGTGCTCTTGCTAGAGTCAGTTATTCTTGGGCAAACAAGAAAAGGAAAGGCAGTGTATGTCATGGGCTGGAATGACCACAGACAAGCCATGGGTTCCGTCTACTAGCAGAGAAACCACACTCACCACAACTTGCTGTTGAAGCAATACCAAGCAGCATGAACCTAGCAGATAGGAAGGAATGGGATCATGGACAAGTATCTGAAAACCCATTGGAAAGCCAAAGCCAAAGGTAGCTGAGTTGATTTTTTGAAAGAGATGGTTGCCACTACAGAGTGGGGGGGGAGGGAAAGGAAAAAAAAAGCAATTATATATGCATAATAAACCAAAGAAACTTTTTCACGTGAAAAATAAAAGACAGTTTGCAAAGAAAGGTGATAGCAGGATAGCAGTAGAGTTTTAAATTGCATAAATATGGGGAAAGCAATGAAAGAAAAAAATGGATACACGGTTATTTCTGAAAACACCAAATATACTTGCTTTGAAGTAGGACTCAGTACATTACTGAAAAGTGTACTTTTGATGTTATGTTGCTTGGAGGCTTGCAGAAGATATATTCAGGAAGACTAGGATAGCAACAATACAAGAATTTAGGGATAATCTAGAACATGGGAAAAAAAAAAAAAAACAAAAAACATCAATGCATCCTTGTAGCAAAGAAGGATAATAACTTTCTGCACTAGACAGAGCGTTGCCAGCAGACTGAAGAGAGCTGATCCTTGCCCTCTGCTCAGGCCTTGTGAGATACATCTGGAGTGCTGGCCCAGGGTTGGGATCCCTGGTAGAAGATCCCCCGTACACCCTGGAGCAAGTTCAGCACAGGGCCACAACGGTAATGAAAGGACTGGAGCATCTGACCCAGGAAGAAAGGCAGAGGCTGCTCAGCTTCAAGAAGAGGAGGCTTAGGTCAATTTATTCACGTGCATAAATACTTGGCAGGGGAGTTCCCACCCTTGGAGGTATTCAAAACATCAAAAAGTCTTGCTGACCCTGCCCTCCACAGAACCTGTAGTAGAGAATTTTCAGGGGCACTTCCAACCTCAGCTACCCTGGGATTCTATGTAGTAAGGAAGTAGAAAATACAGAATTCTGTACAAAAGACAACAGATACTTCTCTGTAAATATGTGTTGTTACTGTAACATAAAATAAGAGTGATGTTTGAAGCCACACCAACACAGTACATGAAAATATGGGACTGTAAGCACAACAATGCAGTAAATAAAAGCTGTGTACATAATTACATAAAGAAGTAACAGAACAATTACAAAGAAGAAATAAGGAGACTAAAGTCAAAGGAAGATTTTTTACGATCAAAGCAACTTTGGATATTTCACAAGTCAGGCTATTCTGCCTACTACATGTTTCTATGCATCTATGAGCATTTATTAAAATCACTTAGTAGCAACTATTAGCTCATATGAAAATTTCAGGAAAAAAAGACAGGCTTGTGGGTTTGGTTACTCAAAAAGGGAACAAATTAAAGTGATTTCAGTTATCACTACGCAAAACTGGAAGCTAACAGAAAGCAAACCAAAGGAGAAACCAAAGGCCACATTTCCATAGCAAAAGATATTACTGGAACAAGTCTGACTGCTAACCTCAAGGAACCAAAAAGAAAAGTAGGAATAGTACTTAATAAACTGAGAAGTTTAATTTAAAGTGAGTATTAAATGGTGTTTGTATTGCTATGGGTATTCTAGAAATACTGAAGAAATGTAGGGACCATGTGTATCAGGTAAAGTTGATTATTTCCTTTTTTTTTCCCCTTAATTTGCTGTTCAAGTTTTGCTTGATTGGTAGTTGGCATCTTAATGACTTGGTAGATATTTTCATAAGGAAAGAACTAGATAAGTCATCAGAAATTGGATGTGCTTCAGCATCATCTTAAAAACTGAGCAGCCTTTCATGCAAAGTCAGTCAAGGAAAAGAAAAGACAATAACATAATTATATATACCCAGATACCAGGCTGAGGAGCATTTTATAGCAGAGTGTAATTGACATTCTGCTATGAATTCACTACTACTACAAGTAAGTAGGAAATATTTCACAACAATCCAGACTCACCCAGGCATGATATGTGATGCAGCGATCACAGTAATTTACATGTAGCTTTGTACTAGAATTCTGCACTTTGGACTCAAAAATGTTATGCCAAAGCAAAACTCATTCCTATTCTGGATTATAGCTGCTTTCTGCCCATAAAGCAAGTTGTTTGCTTATCACTTACAGAGTGTGAGAAAGGTAGACATGTTGTACGTGCTATTCTCCTGTAGGCCTGCAGGTTCTATAGTGAGACTGCTGAGGTCAACTGAGATGATCAACTGACAGGTCCCTGATGACTGCCCTGTTGGACTTGCCATTTCCTTGTGTTTAAATCGGGTACATCACCCTAAAGAAAAGACTGGCAAGTGGAGAAGCATATCTCCACATCTCCACAATTATGCCTCACAGCCTCTCCATGATCCCAGATAAAGCACCAAGCACAAGCTCTCCTAAAAAGCAGAATATGCTTGGTCACTCTCTTGCTGCCTTTCAACTCTAAGTAAGAAGAGGGCTGTAAAGAAATAACTGCAGCTGCTCTGTTCCTTTCCTGTCAAGTATGATGACCTCTGGGATGAGCTGAGCAGGTTTTACCAGCTCTTCCTGAAAACAGAAGGGCACTACCCATCCGATATGCAGCTCTCATAGCAGCTCAGGAAAGAGAAAAAAATTAACAGCACCCTGATTCATAGCACTGGAAGGGATAGATTGATCCAATCTGTACTGGTAGACTGTGGTCAGCAGGAAAGGAGGGGAGCAGATAATCATACATCTAATTTATCTCCTCTGCTACATAAATTGGCCAGCTAAAGTCATGAAGATTAAGACTTTGGACATACCTTGCAAGCAGTGAGATGTATGTTAACATGACCAGCTAAAATGAGGAACAGCAGGTGTTATCAGTAGTGAGGGGAGAGGAAACTTTGTTCTGTCTCCTAAAAAAATGACTGTTATGAAGGCATCTCATAATTGAGAAGCTCCTTTTACCTCAGACTGGTAGAAATCATTCTTTTACATCTTCACTTCCCCAGCTCACAAACCCAAAAGGTGCTCAGAATCAGCTGCTGCAAATGGAATGTGTGTAAAGGCACTGAGAAGGGCAGTTTGGGCCTCATAAGATTCGCAGTGAGGAGGTAAGGCATGTTTTGTAAGACTGCCTGAGAAATAGACACTCCACCCTTGAACTGCTTCTTCGGCAGCGTACATTCCAGTTACTCATTCTTTGCCTTCTGCAGTAAGTAAACCGAGTACTGCTCGTAAAATTGTAAAATGAACTTTCCCATGATCAGGGAGATTGGTTATATAATCACTGAACCTTAGTCAACCAAACAGATGCAGACTAACAAGCACTGTATACGTACTGTGAATAGCCTCTCTACCTGCAGAAAAACACAACGCATTCAGGAAAAAAACACCGTCTCAGCTTCCCTCCACAGCAGCCTGCTCTTCAGTGAGTGACTGCATATCAGATTTCTTCCTAAGGCTGTTTGTTAGAGTGTACCTGGTGAGCAGTATTTGCATAGTTCAACAATAGCACAGAGGTTGCTTCTTTCAGGAGATATTTTCTGTATAATGCCATAAATCTTATCTTCAAATTTTATGAGACTACCTTGGGAAAAAAAAAGAAAAAAAAAAAAAGGGGGGGGGGGGGGGGGGGGGNNNGGTAAAAATATCTTATTTCAAAGAAAACGCATAAAATGACTTTAAAGCATCTGAAATGTTCAGTGCTTAATTCTGTTATATAATTTTAAAATACTTCACAGGAGTGAAGGGTGGGGCTATAAAAGACCTCTGACATCAAGGATAGGATTGTCCAGGGTTCTCTGTTTTCTAGGACCAAAACTCTATCACTGCACAGTCCTGTCAGCCCTGACTGTGGTGGTGATCAGTCCAGAACTCTTTGAAGCTCCATATTTTTCTGCATTTCTAACC